CGCCTACTGGACAAAAGGGACCGTTGGCGTTGGTTTCAACGGTCCCTGGGGCACGTGCCACCCGCCCGGGGGACTTTGGGGAAGGCGGGAGCAGGGGGGTTTCTAAAGGAAGGAGCCCCACTCGGATGGGGGTTACTACAGCTCAGGCCTGTGTGGACTAGGGGAAGACTGCTTGAGGGGAGCGCTCCCTGCACCCCAAGAAGGGAAGAAGTCACCCACAAAGGGAGAGGAAATCAACGTGCTGGATTAATAAACTCCGGGAGCAGGTCTGCCCCGCATAGTTACGCTGCTGCTCAGGGCAGCGCCTGGACAAACCCGGACTGTCGGTGGGACTCTAAACACCCACCTTGTAAGGGTGGAGCAATGTAAGAGTCTCAGTGAGAAGAGGAAGTGACGGGGTAGCCCATCAACCTCCGGTTTATTCACCTATAAGCAGTCTGTGCATATGCATATTTTCCCTTACAGCCTGATTTCTAAGTACAGGATCTGCCCTTTAAACGTTATTTCTCAAAAATTAATAATAATAATAAAATAAATAAATAAAAAGTTACTTCTCCATCCATCCCCCCAATTAAGAAAGATGAAGGATAAAGTTTGCCGAGCTTTGGGATCGTGAAAATCGGATCACGTCCAACCACTTGTTCTCTTCACTGTATTTTCTCTCTCTTTTTTTTTCTCCTTAGTTATTGCATAAGATCTTAAATAATGTAGTTCCCCACAATTTTAAGGCAACGTTCAGAAAACAGCAAGCTAGCATTGCTACAAATCTCTATTAGCAGGATGGATGGAATCAGGCGCATGAAGATGGTACTCCAGTAAAAAATAAATAGTAAAACTTAAACACTGGCCACCTGAGGGCTCTAGACTTGAAATGTGTCTTTTCACTAACTACCAGCATTTCAAACACAACATATTTCAAAGCAGAACTGAGAAAACTTCCTTATTCCCATTCTGCCCAAACCATCTCTCACCCTTCTGTGTACTCTGTCTCCAGTATCACTGTTATTCTGGTGGAGCAGAGTCAAAGCCAGGCTTCAACTCTCTCTCTCCCTTTCCCATATGGCAAATACACCCATCAAAGACAGTCACTGCCTCTACGGTGTGGATTACCTCTGCCCGCTACAGAACGATACAGTAACCTGATACCTCAGCCTCCAGTCTCTCCAGGTCGTTTATTTAACGTGTTTATTTGCACCCAGCCAGTGCCACGTACTATAAAAAGCAGAAGATGCCCAGTGATAAAGATAAAATGCAACAAGCATTACCTAGAGCTGATTGTGTTCCTCCCCTGCCCAATATCCACTGAAGGACATTCTTTCCACCGAGAATTAAGCTCCAAGTCCTCTAGTTCACACACAAGCTCTCTACAATTTTTTTTAATGAGTGAC